CAGCTTCTTTGATTAATTATCAGAAATATAAAAAATAGAGAAAACATGGACAGAACTCAGAACTCTTTATTACTGACACACCACAAGTCTTTTACAACTATTAAACCTTTGTCTCTTTTTCTATAGAAATGACCACTGTCACATTAAAGTGCTACATGCAAGGAAAAATGCGTCTGATTAAAAATAGAAAGTATTATTTGAATGTTTTAGTACCACTCCAGGACCTATTGTAAGGCAACTGTTTTCGCTAGCAGGAAAGATAAGTACCCCTTTGAGCTAGTGACACGAGCATCAAGTCGCTCTTTTCATCCAAAAAAGGTAACAGTATATTCACAATGAGTCTGATTAAGGACAAAAACTAATATTACGATTTGAATGTTTTACTGCCACTCCATGCTTTATTGGAACAGGATTTTAGATAATTTTTTCCACTGCCAGAAAAGACAAACAACTCTTTGATCTTGTGCCATATTTACGCAGTTTCTTTGATTGATCATCACAAATAAATTTTTAAAAACCAAATCGTGGACATATTTGTTCATTACTGGCACACTATGTAAGTGTGTCACTAGTTTTTCTCTGTACTTTCCCCCATAAAATTGATAATACTACATCACCCTAATGCTGTACGCAATGCAAAATTTGTCTGGTTAAGAACAAAAATAATATTACGATGTGAATGTTTTACTGCCACTCCACGAACCATTTTTAAGGGAAACCTTTTCGCTATGAGGAATGACTAGGAACCCTTTCAGCTAGTGCCATATGCTTGCAGCTTGTTAGATTTACTAGTACGCTGTAGATTTTGTTTGTGATGTGTGAACTTACATCACAGATTCGTTTGGCGCGGTCAGCTGCCTTGTCGATGCGTGCACCACCAGCAGCCCTCTTCCTGTTGTGCAGCCCCAGTTTCTTCTAGCGGCCCTCGTGTCAGAGGTGCGCAGAGCAGCCGAGCGGCAGCCAATCACAGCGCTTTGGTATCGCCTGGGAACCGGCCCGGCCAGAAACCACCCCGTCTGAGGCTAGGCTGCAGGCGAGCCGACGCGCGCTCAGCGGAGGGAGTAGTCTCGTTCGGGGTGTCCCTGGCCCAGGCGATACCAGCCCGGAGCTCTGCGCACCTCTCACACGAGGGCCGCTAGTTTCTTCCTAGCTTCCTCAATGGCAGGATCGCTTAGCCCACTGCTTCTCCGGAACTTGTTGAACGTATTGACAAGGTCAGTTTTCCAAGTGAACTGTGTTAAACAAGAAAAGCAATGAAATGACATGTGAACTAGGTACTTTAAAAATCCTACATTTACTATTTTTCATGAAAAACTAACCCACTCGCACGCCTGACTTGCTGTTCCAACTGCATCTGCCAGTGATGGATACACTGTGACCAGTTTCTCTACGACCCGCTGGTACTCATAAATTCTGGGATATCTGGAAAATAAAAAAAAGTTGATGACTCATTGACACAAGATATACAGTTACCTTTTAGCAAACAGAAACCCACACATAACAGGAGTACCGCATCATATCCTTCCTCAGAATAGTCAATATTTCTTTTCTTGTGGCAGAGTCAATTTTTCTACCTAATAAATCAATCTTTAATTTTATGTCTGCAGGGAACGTAGGCAGTTGATAAATAGTAGGTAAAGGGCCAATGTCCACTCTGGGCTCTACGACCCCTTGGGTGGCTTGCTGGTTCTCATCTTGTGTTGCATCCATTGCATTTTCGGCACCTTCTCTCTCTACATTTTCGTTAATTACCTGCAGAGGTACTTGCAGAGCTAAGGAGAAAACAGACATTAAAGAGTAAGACTGCATAGGAAGGCACACTGAAAATTTCTCTTCAATATAGAATTATTACTTTACCTGGTGGCCTCAAGATGATCGTAATTTTTTCATTGTTTTGCAGTGAGTTATAGTCACTCACATTAACAAGATGGCCAGACTCCTCATCTTTGTGTTTAAGAGTGTATCTTGCCCCTCGATCCATGTCCTCAAAAACGTTAAAAGAAGCAGAAAGTATTGCCTCTTGACTGCGCATGGTCCTCACGAAGTAGCTGTCAACTCCATACTCCAAAAGAAGTCGGCATTCCTAGAATGAAACAAGAATTTCTTACTTATTGTGCAAATATGTTCAAAGTTATTTTCCATACTTTTTTTCATTGTCTACCCACTTGTAAAAAATGTCGAAACTAATATTTGTATTTTTTTTTCTATAAATTACATAGGCCTGTATCGATACCTGACGTATCGTACATTCTTAATTTCATATTCATCCAGGGCTTGTGGGGAAACAATGTCTTTTGTAAGAATAACTGTGTAGTCATCCTCATGAGTAACACCCAAAGCGTACGCTTGGAAATGATCATTAAAGTGGTCAGTACCAAGCAGACCTCCATAAAGTGCAAGAGTGTCTCCGTGAATGAAGATTTTCTCAGTTTTAAAGAAAACAGGAAGCACATCACAGTACAGGTGGATTACAAAATATGTCCCTTTATGTACTGTATAACCCCCACTTGCACTTGTTACAACATCTAAAAATGTTTTATCACTGGCATTCAATGCGCGTTTTAGTCCTTCTTTAGCCTGTGGTGGACTAACATTTTTCAACAATATTGAATTTCTTGCACCATCGACCAGGAAATGGAATTTAGCAGGAAAAGTGTGTGGATATAGTTCAACCCACAGTTTATGATGATCTTCAATCAAATATGCAAGCTCTGCAATCATCTGATCTGAAGTCTTAATTGCTAACACAATTTCTGCTATCCGAAGGGCAATTTTAAATAATTTCCAGTTCTCATTTTCTTCTGGCACTCTTTTCCCTACAAATGAAGGGGAACAAGCGAAAAAAGTTCCATTTTTCTGCTGCAGAGCCTCCAAGTCCTTTTTTTTTCTTATCCATCCAGTCATCAGGGAAGCCAGGAAATTTGTTTGCAGAGTCCGTCTTGCCATACTTGAACTGGCTCAAGTCTTTCTTTAATGTTGAAAATAGCACAACTTTTGACCAGTGGAGAGCTAGGATTAATTCTCTGACATGGGTAGGCATGAAACATTCAAGTACGTCATGCATAACATCAGGAGGTAGGCACCTTAAAGGATTAAAACCCTGAAGTCTGGACAGGCAGGATTTGGTCTGAATTCCACAAACACTTGTCAGAGCTGGATCATGGTTTATCAATGTGCTGTGGAGTTCTACCGTCTCTTCCGTTCTGAGAGTGCAATGTGCTGTACTATGGACATTTCTTCTGTTGTTGAAATCAGTTAAGCAAAATCGGCAAAATTTACCACTGCTGAAGCAACATCTAAAACCTCCTAGTGCATGAGAAGACAAGTTGTCTGCAGAAATTGCAACTAAGGAGCCTGTGAAGTGCATTCTTCTACCAGAAAATGTCTCAATATCAATTCCCTCCACGTTTAGTTTCTCAAGATCAGAAATCAATCTGTTCAGAAAAACATTAGAAGAATATTTCTGAACTAACTTCCATTTTATTACTGCAATGAATGCTTTTTAATGACGACTGGTACTTAGGATGAATATTATTAAGTATCAAATAAATAACAGCCAGCTTATGCTTCCGGCTGTGGGAAGCAAGAGGGTTCATTACTGTGAGTTCATCAGTATACAGAGAAATTCGAAGATGAAACGGACCTGGGTGATTCTCAGAATACGGGCCGTTTAGATTCCGCGGCCCTTCACAACTATGTGATATGGTTTGAAAAGGTTTTTATACCATCTAGATACTCGAAAGCACTAATACTATCTGGTGCAACACGAAAAACCTAAGAATACTGCAACAGTAGGTGACTAGAGCAGTTTAAATGGTCAAAATGTGAACTCCAGTACGTTCCTAATGTCTGAGTTCATGCGGACTTTGCCAAATTC